CCACCTCCTCCCTCCACCTCATCTCTTGGCCTATGCACCTGTGGGAAGGAGGACTCTTTTTCCTAGAACCCCTTCTCAAGTAGCCTGACAGCCCAGACCATCTACCTGTCCCTCCCTGCCCTCAATGCAACCAGTTCGTTTCCTGCACTCCTGGGTCAACCCCACCTACTCAAGCCCCTACAGTCTGATAAGGTTGGCCCACCATACTACCTTGAGTTTCTCTAGGCAGGCAAGGGCCTTTATGCAAGACCATCGCCTTTTGCTGAGGTATCCACTACTCTCCCAAAACCAAATCTCCTGCTTCCATGAACACAGAAACTCCTCAGGTTTCCAGGAGTCTTAAACTTTCACAGTTGCTCTAGCTACAGCAGCAACTCTATGAGTTCCTCCTCCTTTGAGATAGTTAATCTCCATTTTCTAAAGCTGACTGTGGGGACAAGGCCCAGTTCCTTCTTCTCTGGTATCATAGGCCAGCCTGTGGAGCCTATCTGAGGTGGTGGGCATTTACGGCCCCATAGTACCTGAGACTAGGTTCATGGTTGTGGGCACTGCACTCCTGCACTTCTAGTCCTAGTCCACCCTTCTCCTCTATACCACAGTTCTGCCTATTGATCTGCCATGGGTCCAGCTGGGAAGCTCAACCCACAAGGCTAAGTCCACTGAGCTCCCTTGTATACTCTGCTGGAAGCCCATACATAGTTGGTTTGAGTTAGCTCATATACACTCGTGCCCCCTGAGGCAACATGGATCCATCTACCCCCTCACAACACCACTTGCTTGGTTCTTTCAATCTGGTCTCCCCAGAAGTGTGAGTCTGGAACCCTCTGGAGCCTCCTTCTACCATCTGAGTAATAGTCAACATCTGACACCAGATAGATTTTTACTACTGCTATAAATCTCTCATAAACAATTATGAGAGAGTTGTTTAGTGAGGAATAAGCGTTGTTTTGTTTTTTGTTTTTTTTTTACAAAGAGATAGGTGTAAAATAAGAAGATTGTGTGCAAACACAGAATATGGTCAAAGGAAGTATTTCTGCTTTTAAAATTCAAAGCCAGAGGCTCAAGGATCAAGGATACTTATTTTCAAGATATGAACATTAGGCATAATCAATTAAAGAAGGTAATGATAATGGTGCAAATATAGAAGACAAGTGCAAGCACTTTTAGCTTTAAATTTTAAATATGAATGTGAACCTTTTTATTTCTTGGGTAACAAAATTCTACTTAGATTACAGAAAATAGTTTAATTCTAAAATCTCATTAATTTATTAAAGTGTTACATTTACTATGTTTTCAAACTTAGTATCATTAATCAATGAATTAGTGTCTATCAGTAGGCTGTAATCTTTTCTTTTTTATCAGTAAAGATCTCATGCTGGGATAGGTGGAGGGTCAGAGACAGAGGAAAACCCGGCAGCAAGATGGACTAATACAATGACCATGAAAATGGCAAAACATGAGGATAGTGCAGGACTGGCTAAGGTACTGATCTGGTACTCACAGGGACTGAGGCAACATGAGTCACAGTCGACCTAACTAAACCTAATTATAGCAGCTCCTCACCAGTATCTGGCATAAGATGCTTTAAAGATACTTGGTGAATGAAACAGAATCTTTCCACTAGCTTCATTGTGACCTGGTACTTCCTCTAATTCATTCTATTTCAAACCCAATTTTACATCTGAGAAATAAGGAATTTTAAAAAGCTTTCACTTTTTCTTTATTACAGACAGGAAAACTACTTGTATAAGTCTCCGCTAACCCCATTCCAAAGATTGGCAAGATGTAAAATCTCTCCAAGGATCTTGATTATCTACATTTTTGTCAGGCGTTAATGGCACAGCCAAGTAGTTCCAGGGTTTACAGGCTTTTTTATTTTTGGAAAGGAAACAAGAGAAGGATATGCAGGAAGAGGTTTTAGTCTCTCTTCCTGAGTGTCTTTCTTGCCCTCTCATTATTTAATGTATATACGGATTTTTTTTTCTCGTCATCTCCACCTTTAGGGAGGGAGCACTAGTAGCCAAGAGCGGCAAAGAAGCTATGCTGTAATTCTGAAGGCATGTGGTTCGATTCCACCAGATGCTCCACAGGAGAAGGATGGGCAATCTACTTTCCTGTAACTAACTGCCTCTGAAAATTTGCTGGAAGGTCAGCTATGGGTCGGTTCCAACTCTACAGTACACAACAGCAACTTTTAGAGAGCTCCAGTGTCCTAGTGGCAAGAAGCTGCACTACAACCTTGAAGGCATGCACTTTGAAGCCTCCAGCTGCTTCGTGGGAGAAGGATGGGCAATCTCCTCCCTTGCAATTAACTGGCTCTGAAAATCCACCAGAGGGTCAGCTATGAGTCAATTCTGACTCTATGGTACACATAAACCACAACCACCTCCACCTTTAAACTTCATCATATATACTTTGGACATGTTTTCAGGAGGGGACAGTCTTCAGAAAAAGATATCATGCTAGAAAAGATACAGTGCCAGAAGGACAAATTCTCAACCAGACAGACTGCAACAGCGACAGCGGCGATGGGCCTGAACCTATCAGAGATAGTTAGGATGGCTTAGGATAAGGCATCTGTTGTTCACAGGGTTGCTATGAGTTGCAGTTGACTTGATGGCACTTAACAACACTCTTAAACATGCACCTTTTATTTCTACAGACTTGTAAACAAAAAGAAAAAGCTGCTATTTCCACGAGGTAAGCTTTTGAAAATGGTCATTACAAAAATTACTTTTCATGTATACCTGACCTAAAACGAGTCCATTTCAGTGCAGCATTTCTCAGGGTATGGTCCAAGTTATCTTCTGAAGTTAAAAAAAAAAAAAAGAAAAGAAAGAAAGGAAAAAAATGGGAATCTGAAATGATATTATTGTTGTTGTTGTTATGTGCCGTCGAGTCGCTTGCGACTCATAGCAACCCTATGTACAACAGCCCTAAACTCCGCTCTGTCCTGTGCCAATCGCACTGTCTCTGACACTCCCATACCAATTATCCCAGTCACTGAATCAATCCACCTCACAGAGGGACTTCCTCTCCTGTGCTGTTCCTCCACCCTCCCAAGCATGATGTCCTTCTCCAAGGACCGGTCTCTCCTCACAACATGTCCAAAGTATGTTAGACAGAGGCTCAGAATCCTTGCCTCCAAGGAGCCACCCGGTTTAACCCTCTCCAGGACAAATCTGTTTGTTTTCCTAGCAGTCCATGGTATTCTCAATACCCTTCCCCAGCACCACAGCTCAAAGGCATCAATTCTCCTTCTATCCTCCTTGGTCACTGTCCAACTCTCTGATGCATAACAAGTGATTGTGAAGACCATGGCCTGTATCAGATGCACCTTAGTCTCCAGAGAGACACCACCGCTCTTCAGTACTTTGGAGAGGTCCCTAACAGCAGACTTTCCCATGGCAGTGCGCCTTTTAATTTCCTGACTGTTGGTGTCAAGACTGTTGACTGTGGAGCCAAGCAAACTAAAGCTGTGTACAATCTCAATCTCTTCACCATCCATCCTGATGCTGCCAATTGGTCCAGTGGTGAGAATCTTTGTCTTCTTGACATTGAGCCTCAATCCATATTGTAGGCTGCAGTCTTTGACACTCTGCAGCAGGCGCTTCAGGTCCTCTTCAGTTTCAGCAAGCAGGGCTGTGTCATCCACATAACGCAGATTGTTGATAAATCGCCCACCAATCTTGACCCCACATTTCTCCTCATAGAGCTCAGCCTCCCGGATAATCTGTTCTGCATATAGGTTGAAAAGGTATGGAGATAGGATGCATCCCTGGCGTACGCCCTTCCCAATTTTGAACCATGCAGTGTTCTCTTGCTCTGTTCTGACGACTGCCTCCTGGTCCAAGTATAAGTTTCGCATTAGAACGATCAAGTGTTCTGGGATTCCCATTCTTCTCAGAGTCAGCCATAGTTTGTTATGATCTACACAGTCAAATGCCTTTGCATAGTCAATGAAACACAAATAGACATTCCTCTGGTATTCCCTGCTTTCAGCCAAGATCCATCTAACATCAGCTACAATATCCCTAGTACCACGACCCCTTCTAAATCCAGCCTGGACTTCTGGTAGTTCTCTGTTGATGTGCTGTTCCAGTCGTTTTTGGATAATCTTCAGTATTTTATTATTACAAAGTAAAATTATTTTCCTAATAACCCATGATCAGATCATTTTTTGCTCCCATTCTTTCACATATAAAATAATGTTTTCCAAAAGACACATCACATCTGAAAAGACAAGAGACCTGAACACAGCAAGAGATGTGGGAATTCTTTTCTCTACTAAGCAAGAGTGTCGATGAAGGAGAGGAAGACCCTTAACCAGGTGGACTGACGTGGTGGCTGCTGCAATGGGCTCTTGTGTGTCACGAAGTGTGAGGATGGAGCAGGACAAAACAGGGTTCAGATGTGTTGTTAATAGGGTCGCTATGAGTCGTACTTGACAGCATCTAATAACAAAACTAAGCCAGATATTGAAGAGTTTATTTAAAAAATGCAAAAAAAGTCTCATTTTATCAATATTTTTGAGAAAATACAGGTCTTTTGTTTCCATTTTAAATTATGTCAACCTATAGATTAGAAGCTCTATGGATTGACAGAGTGACTGTAACATGGTGGAGGCTGTGAAGGCAGGATAGGGCCAGGTCTAATGTTCACAGGGTCATTACAAGCCGGAGTCAACTCACGGGCACCTTGCAACAACAACAGAATGGGCTAACTACTATGTTTAAATGAATTAATAAATAAAATTCCTAATTTTTCCTTAGTCTTTAACATTTTAACACAATAAATATTGCTATATAAAACTTACATACATAAAGCTCTTACAAGTTTTCCTTTTAAATTGTAGAGACCAAAAAAAAATGAGAACCACTGCTTTAACAACAGAGAGATCTTTCATCCCTTTTTAATTTTATTTGAAACATGAAATTTATAGATTTATAGGAATATAAGTACTTCTGATTAAAAATATTATTCTAAAGCAGTGCACTTACCATTATAAGTTATTCTTGGCTTTGTTAAACACATCACAAGATGCAAGTCCATTTCATCTGAGGGTACAAATTTTGAGCATACAGGGCACTTAAATCCTAAAAAAGCAAAAAAAAAAAATTCAAAAGTTACGCAGATATAGTGAATATATAATTATTTTTTTAAAACGTGCAAGAGCAAAAGCATTTTCATTCCAAGTATACTTAAAGTGATATATTACACTTATGTATAACTTAAGTTGTTAAAAGAGCTTATAATTATATCTTGTTAATACCAGGTTATAAATACAATTTTAAAATTGCGAACAAGATTTTTCAGTTCGTCGGTGAGACTTTCTAGCGGCGCCATCTGCGGAGGAACTGTGAGGCTGCGGAACCGGAGCCATGACTGAGGCCGATGTAAATCCGAAAGCCTATCCCCTGGTGGATGCCCACCTTACCAAGAAGCTGTTGGACCTTGTCCAGCAGTCCTGTAACTACAAACAGCTTCGGAAAGGAGCCAACGAGGCCACCAAAACCCTGAACAGAGGCATCTCCGAATTTATCGTGATGGCTGCGGACACTGAGCCACTGGAGATCATCCTGCACCTCCCTCTGCTGTGTGAAGACAAGAACGTTCCCTATGTGTTTGTGCGCTCCAAGCAGGCCCTGGGGCGGGCCTGTGGCATGTCCGGGCCTGTCATCGCCTGCTCTGTCACCATCAAGGAGGGCTCACAGCTGAAGCAGCAGATCCAGTCCATTCAGCAGTCCATTGAGAGGCTGCTAGTCTAAGCCGTGGCTGCTCTCCCTGTGGACTCCTCCCCGGGGTTATGTATCATAGACAGTGTGTGTTAGCTCCTAGTGTTTTCTGCTACTTCCTAATTGCTGTAAGATATTGTACCCTAGATGGTTTCTGGATTTTTATATTACTTTATTCTCAGTCTTATTCTGTTTTTACCATCTTTTTATACTTCCTTTTGACAGTGAGCTAATACCCAGTGTGGGTGCCATATTAAAAGGCAGGAATGGGCCAAGGAAAACCTGGCACAAAGATGGGCTCCAGCTTCTTGCTGCCACCTTCTTTTTAACCTGACTGCAAGTGTGTAACAGGGCGTGAGTGAGGCACCACCATGCACCTGTGCCTGGCATGTGGCACCATTCCATAAATGTTACAAGATCAAGGGCTTTCACTTCGAGTCATTTGGGAGGGTGCTTGTGCCTAGTGGAGGTCACTGGGCCCCTTTCCAGGCATCAGTTACTAGTACACCCTTGTTTTCTTTGATAATGTTCTCCCCCTGCCCTCTGCCCAGCGTCTGATGGGGAACAGGGCAACAGCATACCAAAGAGATGCTGCAGGGGTTTGGGCATCCTGGGCGAAGACCTGGGCCAGCCAGCGCTGGCCTTGGAGGAGTCAGGAGTGGAAAGAGGGTCAGCTGGTTTTGGAGTGGATTCCAGGAAGGGCCTGGAGCCTGCCGCAGGTGGTCACATCAAGGAGACCTCTCTGGTGACTGGAGACTTGTTAGTGGACACTTGTTCAGTACTGGGAGCCCTTACACTCACTGCCTGCCACGGCATGCGTCAGGTCCATCCTCTCACATCAGCAGTGATGCTGATGTGCCGTTCACTAATGTGAGCACTCTAATAAAGGAACAGATTCATATTCTGATTGAAAAAAAATTGCAGAACAAGTTTAAGTTAGATAGAAGTGGTCTATTTTCTAAGTCCTAACCCTTGCTTTAAATCATTGGTCCAATTATTCTCTTATTTCTAATGTTTTCCATTAGTTATACTTGGAATTTTGTATTGATTTCAGATTCTGACCCTCCTGTTAAGGTATCTTTCCCAGCTCTGTATAGTATATTTTGAGCCAGAAACTATTTCACATCACCAACCTTTTTTTTT